CTAAAGAGCGCAAAAGAAGAGAAAAGAAGTGAAGAAAGAAAGAAAAAGCATAAAGAGAGAGGGTGTACTAATGTGATATAAGAATGAAAGAAAGAAAAAAGTATAACTAAAAAAAGAAAGCAAAGAGGGAAGAAAGGAAGGAAGGAAGGAAGGAAGGAAGGAAGGAAGAAGTCTATTTAAAAGGAGATAAAAGTTAATAAAAAAGAAAGAGCGTAGAGATTGAACGAAAGAAAAAAGAAGAAGAGTAAAGATGCGTGTGAAGAATAGCAGAGAAAAGAAAGAAAGACTATTTAAAAGGACAGCAAAGCCGATAAAAGAAAGAAAGTACATAAAGAGAGCGAGAGAATAAAGGTGGCATTCAAATGAAAGAGAAGAAAAAAGAGTAGAAATGTGAGAGAAAGATAACGAAAGAAATAAACAGACGAGGAAGACTATTTAAAAGAAGAGGAGCAAAGTCAATAAAAAACATAAGAATATATTTATCAGTGGGAGGGCAAAGATGATATAAGAGGGAAAGAAAAAAAGAAAAAGAGTAGAGATTTAAGAATAGGAAAGTCTAATAAATAAATAGTCAGGGAGTATGTCAGAAAAAGAAAGAGAAAAAAAGGGTATGTTGTATAAGGGATGGAAAAAGAAGAAAGACAGAAATTAAAAGCATAGAGAAATAAGTAAAGAAAATAATAATAATAATAATAATAATAATAATAAGAAGAAGAAGAAGAAGAAGAAGAAGAAGAAGGGAGAAAGAAACGAAATCTTGATTATGTTTTTCGGTTTATAAAAAAAAACAAAAAACTATTTTTTCCCCCTCGGCTGGGAGTGCCGGTGCCAGCTGTGTAAGGCATGTAATGAATGGGTGTTGCCATCCATTCAACCCTGGCCGCTCGACGCCATCACCATGCTTGGCTGACCCAGGTCACTGACTAGGCACTTGCGGTGTTTGCGGAGTGTACAAGCGAGAAATGATTCTAAGACCACCAAATGGGGCTTGTTCGATAATAATAATAATAATAAAAATAATAGAGACATGCCATAAGAACATCTTAAATACTTTTCTATTCGAGGTTAATAATCGTTCGTTTCAAATCCAGCACGCCTAAAAATAAGTATGCAAACGTTAACAAGATTGGGCCTTTGAAGCACATTATCAATCGCTCTCTTCCTATAGTGGGGGTATATCGAAATATATTTACAAGGGAAATAGGCATGTGTATAAAAGTTGTCTACTGTTTTTGTGTGCCTGCGTCTCATTGGTTCAAATTATCAAAGTGAACGAGAACAAGAGAGAGATAAGTAATAAATCGGGAGGCTCGGATTGAGGAATCGGAGGAGCCGAGTTCGAATTCCAGTTGAATCCATTACATTCACCTACTTTGAGAAAAGTGTGATCTCTCTTCTTCTACCCCTCCAGCTATGGGTTAATATATGGCAACTGGTCTACCGGAAAAAGAAATGGCAACCTACTGCCTCGTCAGTAAGATGCCTCGTCATCGAAAGATACATGATCGCTTAAGTGTGTGTCACGCATGGCACATAACTGACTGAATAAATCGGGAGAAAATTATTCTAAACACTGATTTACACGCAGTCCCTCTACACTTGTAGGTCTGGCGCAATACAATCTTTCTATTTCCAAGTTCTCTATTTGGTTCATTTGCATATTTCTGATCAGTGACAAAAGTCTATATTTGATTCCGAGTAATTTTCAGGCAGGCGGGTCCCTTTTTTTAACTGGAAGTTTGACGCAACATAATCTTCCCTATTTTTCTCTGTCTTCTCATTTTCACCTTGAGGTGAACTAAGCCCAAAAAGAATTGGGGAAATGTAGGTAATACATCTAAGAAAAGAGCAGGACGCTCGTTTTCGTGTATGACTATTTGCTAGGGCAACAAGCTAATGCCTATTGCTGATGCGTTCTCAGGCACATACTGCAACCATACTAAGCGTACTTCTGTTATATTTCCTGGGAGAGAATGGATAATTTAGAGTGATCACCAGTTTAAGCAGGATCAGTACAATCACACCCTCGTTCATGATGAGTTGTGACCTCGTACTGGCACAACCATTTTTATGGCTTATCAACCCTTTGCAGGTTAATTATGAGTAAGATATAATTTGGATCTTAAGAATATTTTTTTTTATTAGCGAGTGAATATTGCATTAGTTTTGGGGGAGAGATAAGGATTCTTCCAGATAAAAGTCCTACTATTTAACCCATAGTATGTGGGGGAAAACATGCATCCAAGGCTATTTGCACGTAAGTAAACGTCCCGAACCCGTCTGCAATTCAAATTCTGGTCTCTGATTTTTTTTTTTCGATTTGCTATCCGTTACACTGGAGGAATGGCGGAGTAATGGATAGTTGATCGGATTGAGGAATCGGAGAGCCGAGTTCGAATTCCAGTCGAATCCTTTACATTCACTTATGTGCTAATACATTTCTTCTCCCCTCAGTTATGGGACAGGACAGACCAGTTCTATAGCCTCTACCGCAGAAAGAAATGGCAACCTACCTCGTCGAAAGATACACGATCGCCTACGCGTGTATCACGCATGGCACATAACTGACTGATATGGCAGTGAAGGCTAACAGTCTCTTTAAAGATGAAAAAGTGACTTGAAGCAACAGAAATGTGGTTCTACAGCGGACTGCTGAGAATAACCTAGAGTGAACAACGACGAAGTTTTAGAGAAAATGGAAACAAAATGGACACTTATACCTAATGCCAGAAAGAGGCAGTTAAAATATCTAGGGTACTTAAGGAGGAAAGAGGTCTCACAAAATTTGTTGCACACAAGACAGATTGAAGGCAAGAATGACAGAGGAAAACAATGAATGACCTCGTCTGAGTAAATGGACAGCGGAACTAGGTTTAGAATAAATAGCGAAAAGACAAAAAGTATTAAGAGCTAGAAAGGACAGAAAATTGTGGAGAGTCATGACCGCTAACGTCCTGACGGGACAAGGCACATAGAAGAACTATTGTACCAGCAGAGGAGGTGGGTGAGGCGACCGGGGCTTGATTAATACAATCACAGTATTGCCACTATCTTCGATACTGACAAGATTGTTATTTAATGGACTTGAAATCGGTTTTGAACTGTCCTTTGAGGAGGACAATTACACATTGAATGTTTACTCTTTTTTGATAGAGGGGGGACAAACTCTGTGTATAGTACTTTGCAATAAAAGACTAAAAAAACAAACAAACAAAAAACACGTATACATTTCCTACTTCTATTTGACATGTGACCGCTTTGATGGGCGCGGTTAGTCGCCAAAAACGCCTAAAGTATTCTGTTAACATAACTTTAAATTAAATTTATTTCCTTATAACGTATTAAAAAGAAATGAAAACGTAAATATGAAGTTACATCTATCTATCTATCTATCTATCTATCTATCTATCTATCTGAGTTTGCTAGGATCTATCTATCTATCTATTTATCTATCTATCTAAGTCTGATCAAATCTATCTATCTATCTATCTATCTATCTATCTATCTATTGCCGATGAGTGAGGTTGATTTCATTTTTCTTTTTCTTGTATCAGAATAACTTGACCTCAAATATGTCCTGTTAATAATACCCAGAGAGCTGACTCCAAACTTAACTTGTATTCTGGTTTAACAAGTCATGACTTGTAAGTACTCCACTCTCTTCGTAAAGATAAATATATATATACTAACCCATTTTTTGTATGAAATCAACCAATAACTCTTTTTTTTACTAATTGTTATTTTATTGAATCCTTTTCTAAAGCTTATCAACCATTTACAGCAAATATTTTCAGATTATATGAATATTTTTCAGTGGATACTGGTTTAGTGATGCAAATCCCACTAATTAACCCATAGCTTGAGAGAGAAGAGGTGGATTCTTACATTTCCCAAGTGTATTTGCACATAAGTGAATATAATGAACCCGACTGGAATTGAAACTTGGCTCCCCGATTAAGAATTGCGAGCCGTTATCCATTACACCACTCGCACATCCAAGCTTACAGCACCTGCTATTCACAAGAAGTCACGCATCTTGGTACTGACCAAGCTCGACTTTGCTTAACTTCGGTGACTGTACGGGAACCGGTGTTTCAAAATGATATGGCCGTAAGCCCCAATATATTGTGACAACAAAGATGAGGTCAATAATACACATGTAAATATTGCTAACTTCTAGCCCCAGACAAATTTATTTATTCCAGTAACAAAAGAATTCTGAAGTTCGACACGATACGAATTCTTCGAAGGAATTTTTTTTGTGGTTGTTTATTTTTCAAAGACTTTTCTTTACAAGAGTCTCAACGTGATGTGACCGTCAGCCTTTAATAATTGTTCACATAGCAAAAGGCCACTAAATGTAAAGGGTTACTGATAGAAGTTCTGTCACGTAAGAAGAGGGTAGGTAAGTGTAGTTTAAGAGGATATGTAGGAAAGACGCCAGTCAACTCCAAACTTAAAGACATTAAGACTATAGTGATCGGGGAAGCATTTTCACGGGAGTTTGTTTCAAATGTTTCCGAATGGAACTTCCTTCTTACTAATGGAATACAGTTTTGGGGATGGGGATGTATACATTAGGGCAGGCATTGGTATTGCACTCAATTTGAAAAAATGTGCTTTGAAATAGTAAGTAAACACGTAAATTACTTCTTTCCAAATCCTTACCGTTTTTTGAGGAAACGAATTTAAAGATTAAGTTTATGCTCAAAATCGTAGCGTTGGATTTTCATTCCGGTGATCAATAAAAGCCTTGTAGCACAGCCTTATGAAATTTATAACTTACTGAATCTTTACAAACTGTATAAGTACAAAATTCAAAGCATACGCACATTATTACTAAATCATTGTGCCATCAAATAAGACCCTCATTTACTTGAAAGGGAAATTATACTAAACAATTTAGTTATATTATGATCTAATATAATAAAGCGCGCAGTAGTTTTAGTGTGATTTTTAACCCTAGAACACTAACCATGAGTATATAGTACCCAGCGCAAATTTTCCTATTTTTAATTACAATTTTCAGTACCTGATTTTCTTACCTAAATAATGTTTTTCAGTTCCTATTTATGTTAACACAAAGTACAAAGTTTGAAGTACCTGCATGTAAAATATTTCAAATAAAGATTTATATTTAATATTTTTTTTGATATTTTCAAAATCGAGTATGATATACCCATGGTTAGTAGTGATGTGACTTTAATTGATGGTTAGTGTTCTAGGGTTAATAAACAATGCAAATTTAAAACAGTTTTTATAATTTGTGCCCCGGAGTATTATGGTGTTATATAAACTTCTATCTATTTTTTTTTATTAATCATGACATAACAAATGGTGTAAGATTTATTGGCGTTTTTTTTTGTAATCTTTTACACTTTTTTTTTTACAGTTTTATTTATCGAATGCATTAAAATAAATGCATGTTTTACTTGTGGTGATTCACATTTAGAATTCTGGTTTGAATATATTTTCCATTCAATGAATCTAATACGAAAATATCAACTTTATTTGATTCATTCTTGAAATAGTCTTGTAAACAAAGTTCTTCAAAAATTAGTTATTGTTCAACCAATTCCAACTCTAGTTTAACTCTACTTTCTCCTGATGTTATCTCAAACAGCCTATGAAATGTTTTCGTCTCTCTTGCAACCTTATATTCTTCATGAATTCCTTTTGGATCTACTGCATTTTTCCCCTTTTCAAAATTTGTTCCTTTTTCTCAATGTTCCTCGTTATAGATTATGTTATAGATGAGTAGAAGAGATATCAGCTGCTTTCCTGCGAAAGGATTTGCATCTGATTGAATCTGTAGCGAAAATTCTTGTCCTTAATTATGTCTCACTCACAGACCTTTTAATGTAATCTATGATGAAACGTTAAGATAATTTTACAGATTCATTATATATTTAGGTAGTTTAAAAAGGAGAAAGCAAAAAAACCCCAAAAAACCAAAAAAAAAAAAAAAACCAAACAAAAAAAAACAAAAACAAAACATAAAAACCCCAAATAACCCTAAAAAACAAAAAGCAGCTTAAAACTCTTATATGGACAAAGGGTTAAGTTTGAAATTCTTTATAACTGTTACCTTAGGGATGAGATTCCAGCGTGAATGTTTCCTTGGATAATATAGCTTAGCCCTTTCAATCATTATTTATCCCACAAACCATTACAATAACGCTCTATCCTGAGTGGCCTTGGAGCCTTGTATTTGGTGAATCTTAGTTTAAAAGGGGTTCGCAATTGCTGCAATTTACTTACTTAAACAGTCATTATCATTTGAACCAATCATCATATTAAAGGTATCAGTTTTCTATCAACGCGATGCAAATATTGACAATTTATAATACGAGGCATGTCTGAATAATAATAGGACTGATGTCGCAAACAATTTATTTCAATTCCAAACATCAAGCTACATGCTTTCCCTCGAGTCTAATACCCTTTTCCATCCTTCTCTGATAAACTTCTATGCACTGCTGGAAGGAGCCTTTCTTGGATGCCTTTCAGCCCAGTCGTTACCACCACTTAATGGGTTTCTATGATGTTCCCCTTGAGCTAAGGGAAACGAGCAAGAACAGTTGAATAGGGAGGTTGTTCCAGTAGAGCAATATACTTATCGGCCAGAAAGTGGCCGGATGCTCAGGGCGTTGTGAGCTGGTCCATTGTCATGGTGAAGTAGCCATGATTTGTTCTGCCACAACTACCATATCTCCTTGCACAAACGGAAATGTAAAGGAACACAAACCAGAATGTGAAGGAGCACAAACTGACCGTAATGTGAAGGGAATACAAAGCGGAATTTGAAACGAATATTGACCGTAATGTGAAGGGAATACAAAGCGGAATTTGAAACGAACATTGACCGTAATGTGAAGGAAATACAAAACGGAATTTGAAACGAACATTGACCGTAATGTGAAGGAAATACAAAACGCAATTTGAAACGAACATTGACCGTAATGTGAAGGAAACACAAAACGGAATTTGAAACGAACATTGACCGTAATGTGAAAGAAATACAAAACGGAATTTGAAACGAACATTGACCGTAATGTGAAGGAAATACAAAACGGAATTTGAAACGAACATTGACCGTAATGTGAAGGAAATACAAAACGGAATTTGAAACGAACATTGACCGTAATGTGAAGGAAATACAAAACGGAATTTGAAACGAACATTGACCGTAATGTGAAATAAATACAAAGCGGAATTTGAAACGAGCATTGACCGTAATGTGAAGGAAATACGAAATGGAATTTGAAACGAGCATTGACCGTAATGTGAAGGAAATACAAAACGGAATTTGAAACGAATATTGACCGTAATGTGAAGGAAATACAAAGCGGAATTTGAAACGAACATTGACCGTAATGTGAAAGAAATACAAAACGGAATTTGAAACGAACATTGACCGTAATGTGAAAGAAATACAAAACGGAATTTGAAACGAGCATTGACCGTAATGTGAAGGAAATACAAAACGGAATTTGAAACGAGCATTGACCGTAATGTGAAGGAAATACAAAACGGAATTTGAAACGAACATTGACCGTAATGTGAAGGAAATACAAAGCGTAATTTGAAACGAACATTGACCGTAATGTGAAGGAAATACAAAGCGGACATTTAAACGAACATTGATAGTAATGTGAATGAAATACAATGCGTAATTTGAAACGAATATTGACCGTAATGTGAATAAAATACAAAGCGTAATTCGAAACGAACATTGACCGTAATGTGAAGGAAATACAAAGCGTAATTTGAAACGAACATTGACCGTAATGTGAAGGAAATACAAAGCGTAATTTGAAACGAACATTGACCGTAATGTGAAGGGAATACAAAGCGTAATTTGAAACGAACATTGACAGTAATGTGAAGGAAATACAAAGCGGAATTTGAAACGAACATTGACCGTAATGTGAAGGAAATACAAAGCGTAATTTGAAACGAACATTGACCGTAATGTGAAGGGAATACAAAGCGTAATTTGAAACGAACATTGACAATAATGTGAGGGAAATACAAAGCGTAATTTGAAACGAACATTGACAGTAATATGAAGGAAATACAAAGCGTAATTTGAAACGAACATTGACCGTAATGTGAAGGGAATACAAAGCGTAATTTGAAACGAACATTAACCGTAATGTGAATGAAATACAAAGCGTTATTTGAAACGAACATTTACCGTAATGTGAAGGAAATACAAAGCGTAATTTGAAACGAACATTGACAGTAATGTGAAGGAAATACAAAGCGTAATTTGAAACGAACATTGACCGTAATGTGAAGGGAATACAAAGCGTAATTTGAAACGAACATTGACAGTAATGTGAAGGAAATACAAAGCGTAATTTGAAACGAACATTGACCGTAATGTGCAGGGAATACAAAGCGTAATTTGAAACGAACATTGACAGTAATGTGAAGGAAATACAAAGCGTAATTTGAAACGAACATTGACCGTAATGTGAAGGGAATACAAAGCGTAATTTGAAACGAACATTGACAGTAATGTGAAGGAAATACAAAGCGTAATTTGAAACGAACATTGACCGTAATGTGAAGGGAATACAAAGCGTAATTTGAAACGAACATTGACCGTAACGAGAAGGGAATACAAAGCGTAATTTGAAACGAACATTGACCGTAACGTGAAAGGAATACAAAGCGTAATTTGAAACGAACATTGACCGTAATGTGAAGGGAATACAAAGCGTAATTACAAAGAACATTGACCGTAATGAAGGGAATGAAACGAAATTGACCGTAATTTGAAACGAACATTGACCGTAATGTGAAGGGAATACAAAGCGTAATTTGAAACGAACATTGACCGTAACGTGAAGGAAATACAAAACGGAATTTGAAACGAATATTGACCGTAATGTGAAGGAAAGGAATTTTGCGGAATTTGAAACGAACATTGACCGTAATGTGAAGGAAATACAAAACGGAATTTGAAACGAACATTGACCGTAATGTGAAGAAATACAAAACGGAATTTGAAACGAGCATTGACCGTAATGTGAAGGAAATACAAAACGTAATTTGAAACGAGCATTGACCGTAATGTGAAGGAAATACAAAACGGAATTTGAA